GCATGCTGAGCATGCCCTCCCGGTGTATGGAGTTTACATCAGTGAACAGGCATAGAACCACTTTACTGGATTTTCTTTCTCTCTCTCTCTCTCTCAGAATGGCAGTTCTGAGAATCATAACTAATAGAGCACACTTATTTCAGTTTGTGCTATTCCCAATAAATAAAATTTATTATCTAAAGAGCTGTCCACGGAGCTTAGCTGCTTTCTTCACTAGAATATGATTTCACATGGGCCTGCTCCATGTTGCTGCTATTCTGAGCCAAACTCCTTCACTTTAAATATGGTAACACAATAATAATAAATAAATACAAAGCATGGATACAGCAATACATATTTTCAAAGTGACGTAAGAGCATTAATCTTCAGAGTCCAGCTGTAAAATAGGTTACTGTCTCAGTTTACAGATCTATACAATATATTACATACATACCTATCCAGATGCTTCTAAGGAGCATCCGAGCACCTCATATACATTAGGTTTCAGTTCATGAGGGTACTTAAGCACATGAATAGTCCCACATAATTAAATTTAAGATAAGACATACCAATATCGGTGCAGAGGTAGTTGGCATCACCATATCACTTCCTGCTCATTGCCTCTCTACTCTTGTGGCAGCCCTGTGGCTAGGGCAACAAGGTCACCCTTTTCTATACACAAGAAAGATAAATGTATATATGAAAAGACTCAATGGGCTTTGAATGTTGGGCTCAATACAGAGGTAACTGGCTGTAGCTGAATGACCTGTGATATACAGGAGGGCAGACTAGATGTTCTCTTCTGACCTTAAACTTTAAGAAACCTCTATGAAAGCATGTTTGTAATCCAAACTTTTGCCTTTTAAATATGAATGAGTAGTATCTAGCAATAGGTTTCTGGAAAAGAAAGAGGTTTCAGTGAAGGGGGGAGGAATAGCTCAGTGGTTTGAGCAATGACCCTGCTAAACCCAGGGTTGTGAGTTCAATCCTTGAGGGGGCCATTTGGGGCAAAAATCTGTCTGGGGAGTGGTTCTGCTTTGAGCAGGGGGTTGGAATAGATGACCTCCTGAGGACCCATCCAACCCTGATATTCTATGAAGTATGACAATTACATATGAAGTCTCTGTGATTTCCCTCCAAAGACAAAACACTGCCACTCATTAAATCAAGGCAGGCACTCTATTCTGTAAAATGAAGTCTCAGGTTGAAGTGTCTGTCTTCTAGAAGCTACTGCATTTCATGGTTTTTATTTCATAAAACTGAATGATCCCCATAGGTAGGAATTAAGACGTCTGGTCATTCTCCCATGGTTCATCTTTTAAGGTGCTTATGAAATGCCCAAGACAATGTGAGCTCCTGATTAAACTAGGAAGTAAATCTGTATGCACACCATTAAAGAGTCTGCAAGGGCAGATGCAGATGACAGTAATTCATACATTAAGGAATGGGCTTGTATATTTGGCAGATTAACTGTTCTGTATTCCATTGCTATGAGGTATGGAAACTGTACTGTGAAACATCCATTACTCATTCCCTCTGCTCTAAACACGTAAGCCTATCAAAGGCGAGCCAGTTGGAGGAAAAAACCCTGCAAAGGGAAGAGTCTATGCATTTAAGATTAATGCTTCTCTTACATAATTTTCCCTGACTTTTAAAATCAGCAAATACGCTAGACCCAGAAGGCAAATGCATGGAAAGAAAAGCAAAAACAGCAAAAATTCTCCAACTTGTACATTAGGTGTCATCAGGCTTTTGTGTTTGAACATCTGAATGAATCATATGTCCATTTTTCATTACGCTCCATATGTGATTGTTCCCTGTTTTGTTCAGTGATTTTTGGCCACTTTGTCATGGCTGTGCTTGGGTTTTTTGTTGTTGTTTTTTTTTAATATACTGTTCTATTACAGAATGATTGTTGCTGCTGCTATGCCTCAGTGTGTATGATACCCAAGAAGAACAATCTTGAAATGAAAGAATACGTCAAAAGGTTTCCCTAGTGAACTATCTTGGAATATATGTTTCCTTGGATCTGACTGTTTAACCCTCACCAGAAAAAAAAATGTTTTGATAACACTAGTCCTTAACATGGTGCAAGTGAATTTTTACAGACAGAAGAATGTTTGAAGAATAAGTCAAACCAAATTTCAATCTGTTTTCCTCATTGTTGGAAAAGGATACACCTAACACTTCCAGTTAGACAGAGCATTCTCTCTCAATGGATCTGTGAGGAATCTCATTGTTACCTATGCAATTTCTTAAAATTATCTTCTTTTTGCTGTTATGTGAACTCTTTATTTGGAGGTTATAGTTTTCAAAACCAATGCTGTAATTTGGCCAAATTTCAAATGGCATTGAAATATGTTTCTGAGTCTTAAAATCACAAGATGACTTCCACCACTCTCAAATTTGACTATAATCACTCCCTTTATATTTAATGGTACACCACCTACATTACAGACTGGTGTGCCTACTTGACTGGCCATCTCATTTTTGCACCTTTAGGAAGTTTGTTTTGCCAAAGAGGAATGAACTGTATTTAAATAAGCAAAATGTTCATCCTTACCACATTTGCCATCTCCATGCCATCTACTGTAAATAAGTCCATGTTTCTGATCATTCAATTGTATTACTCATGCCATAAAGATCTTTCCTCTAAAATATGAACAAATGTGTCTCACTTTTTCCTTGCTGTAAACTATAGTGAAAACAAACCTTATTAAATTCTCATTATTACATAGCACCTATTGTTGTGATATAGCAGAATACAAAATGAAACAGCCCCAAACCCGAGAAAGAGAAGGTGAATTCCCTCCATTCTCTTCTTTCTGTCTCTCAGCATCCTCTTCCCCTGCACATTTTTGTACGTATTTTTCAGCCACATCCTTTCCTTGGATTATAGCCCATCATTATTTCCAAAAGATTGGTGAGAACGGTGGTGCAGTGCTGAACATAAGGCACCATGTTGTCAGATTGCTTGATGAGACAGACACTGCTGTTAATTTTAAAGCAGCAGCAAGCACCCCATCTTGCATATGCAGCCCAGCATAGCATGTTTACAATGAGTCCTAGAGTCTGACTACATGCACCTGGTGGCAAACCATGCCTTTTGGGGACTGTGGTGTTTTGTCAGGGTAGAATTTCAGTCCCCATTCCTAATATACCCTTGTGTGGCTATCCAGTACTGCTGCTGCATGGGTTATAGGAAAAAACTCCATCTGCTTCTTCTGCCAGTTACTAAGCACACTTTTGTAATACTGGCAGGATTTTGCCCCTTCTCACTTTTTCTCAAGTTTCCTTCCATATTTCACCTCTTCTCACCTTATCTCATCACTAACCTTATATTTCACTTAGTTTGCTACCTTAATCTGATGAGGTTCAACAAGGACAAGTGCAGAGTCCTGCACTTAGGACGGAAGAATCCCATGCACCGCTACAGACTAGGGACCGAATGGCTAGGAAGCAGTTCTGCAGAAAAGGACCTAGGGGTTACAGTGGATGAGAAGCTGGATATGAGTCAACAGTGTGCCCTTGTTGCCAAGAAGGCTAACGGCATTTTGGGCTGTATAAGTAGGGGCATTGCCAGCAGATCGAGGGACGTGATCATTCCCCTCTATTCGACATTGGTGAGGCCTCATCTGGAGTACTGCATCCAGTTTTGAGCCCCACACTAGAAGAAGGATGTGGAAAAATTGGAAAGAGTCCAGCGGAGGGCAACAAAAACTATTAGGGGGCTGGAGCACATGACTTATGAGGAGAGGCTGGGATGGTTTAGTCTGCAGAAGAGAAGAATGAGGGGGCGGATTTGATAGCTGCTTTCAACTACCTGAAAGGGGGTTCAAAAGAGGATGGATCTAGACTGTTCTCAGTGGTACCAGATGACAGAACAAGGAGTAATGGTCTCAAGTTGCAGTGGGGGAGGTTTAGGTTGGATATTAGGAAAAACTTTTTCACTAGGCGGGTGGTGAAGCACTGGAATGGGTTACCTAGGGAGGTGGTGGAATCTCCTTCCTTAGAGGTTTTTAAGATCAGGCTTAACAAAGCCCTGGCTGGGATGATTTAGTTGGGGATTGGTCCTGCTTTGAGCAGGGGGTTGGACAAGATGACCTCCTGAGGTCCCTTCCAACCCTGATATTCTATGATTCTATGATAAAGATGCCACAGTCCTTTTCTTACCAGGGCTACATAGAAAATGCTTGCTGTCCACAATCCACTTCATGTGAGACAAATCCAGTTAGACATTAGTGCACAAAGATTCTGCAGTTCACTAGCTATGGAATTACAATTTTATCCTTCAGGGAAGTGGACTCCACTGTGAGAACCAACACTCCAGTAAAGTGAAAGTCCCACCCATGGAAAAGATGGACCTTCAGACTGATTACAGATAATAATTCTAGTCTTCAGAAATCTCTGTATATATCTATCTAGACAAAGATATAGACCCATGCAAACATCATATCTCCACAGTACACATTGTATTTCACTAAAAAACAGAGAATATTTTGAAATATTACCAGAGAAATTAAAAATGCAAAACTGCAAGAGTAAGAGAAATCATTTTCATATCACTATGTCACAATTTTATGATCAATGTTGTGCCACAGTGCATATTTTCTTCTTCCAATAATGTAGTCTGAGACATTCTAGAATAGAAAAATTAAGCCAGGTTTTGCTTGGGAAAGTTTTCCCAAGGGTTTCTCATTTTTATATAGGAAATCAATTTGCATCACTGATGATATCATTCAAATCAGACAACACTATGTGGTTAGAAGGTAATTTACTTTTCTACCAAAGCAATTTGATACTTGTTCTGATTTGCGATTTTCATTTTGTTTGTTAATGAAAAAAATTAATGAGCAATGTTACTGGAAAATACAACTCAGAGCACTGGCATTATTAAATATGTTTGCAATATACTGTACATTGTGCTGATTGCACAGTCGGAGCCCAAACCTTGGCGGATGGAATACCAGTCAATCAGCCAAACAGACACCGAACTCATCTGGAGGACTCTTTGCACATACCTTTGCACTGATTTGTGTTTTTGTCAAGAATTGCCTTTGTGGATACAATTTTCCCATACCTACAGAGAAAGAAAAGAAAAAAAAAGAAAAAGAAAAAAGAAAAATGCATGTTATTATATTTTAACCCTAGATCCAGGCAGACTATTCCATGCAGTTTATTATATATATATATATGTACACACACACACACACACACACGAGAGAGAGGGGGGGTTCACCCATAGAAAAGGTACATGATGGACAGCAAGCTTCCCTGCATTCCCCCTGCACTGCAATGCAGATCTTGAGGGATGTTCATTTTCCATGCCCATTCAAACTCTGATCTCTACACTGAGACTGCCAACAAAAATGCCAGTTACAGGAATGGCCAGTAGGGTATCCAGATAGACAAAGATGTTTCTCTGGTGAAGGAAATTAACTTTATTTAAATGTATATTTGCATTTTAAGCCATCAAAGGAAGTTTTGTTTTTTAATGGGAATGGAGCAGATGCTTTCCCACCATTCACCAAATGCCCTATAAAACTGGCTGACAAAAAAAAGAGATCCAGAGGAAGAATTATTTTTTTTGAAAAGGTATCTAGTACATTTTAGACAGTCAAAGGGTTTTTTTAAAATTGTTTTTGTATATTTAGGCTTTTCTAGCTGAATACTGATGAGTGTTTGCATATATAGCACTACAACAAATAACACAGCTTAAGAGTACCTCCACAAGACTCACTCTTGAGAGGGAATTTTAATTTCATGGACCAGTTACAACTTGTTGCATTCAACAGTTAGACCACAAAGTGAGTGCCTGTCTTTGAGTTAAAGAGAAGAGGACTGAAAATGCATATTTGATAGTCAGTTTGGAAATAGTTTATGTCATGTAATAACAGCAAAGAATCACAGAAAGGGCCACTTTTTGCAATCACTGAATACCAGACTTAAGTGAAAAAAGAAAAACAATATTATCCCTGAAGCTACACTGTCTTCATCTTTGCTTCACTACACAGCTCCTCCTAGAACCTTTCCCTAAACCCTCTCCCACCAAATTTGAAGAAAGAGTACACACATTCTCACAGGGTGTACTTTCATTTTGGAAGATGCACATGTCAGACATGACACGCCATCATGAATCGTGATACCACCACCAGATACCATGATCATGGGCACAATTCATAAGATGCACAGACAGTCAGTCAGTCAGTCTTTAGCAATAATAATTTTGGTCCTTATTCAAGAAAGCACTTAAGCATGTGCATAAAGTTAAACGTAATCTTATGTGCCTTGCTGAACAGAGGCATTCCAAAGTTGGGGCCTTTATGTCCACTTCCCTTACATTATTCTTTACACAAGTATTTGCAGCAGACTTTAGTCACAGCCAAAAACCAGCAAGCACACATCCTAAGAATATACAGTAGAATCTCAGAGTTACGAACACCTCGGGAATGGAGGTTGTTCATAACTCTGAAATGTTTGTAACTCTGAACAAAATGTTATGGTGGCTCTTTCAAAAGTTTACAACTGACTGACTGAATACAGTTTTGAAATTTTACTATGCAGAAGAAAAATGCTGCTTTCCCTTTATTTTTTTAGTAGTTTACGTTTAACACAGTGTTGTACTGTATTTGCTTTTTTTTTTTCATCTCTGTTGCTGCCTGATTGTGTACTTCCAGTTCCAAATGAGGTATGTGATTGACTGGTCAGTTCGTAACTCCGGTGTTTGTAACTCTGAGGTTCTACTGTAGTGCCAAATTCTCTGCTGGTGTGATTTACAAACATATTATGGATAAATTTACACCAGCAAAAAATTTAGCCCATGAAGTGCATTTTCATTTATTTGATGTATAAACCAAATAAATGCAATATATACAAATAAGCAAATAAATAAACAATGCCTATCTATTGTCTTAAGAGTCTTTGACAGATACTGAGAAAGAGAATCCAATTAAAATCAGCAGTTAACCCACAACAACCTCAAATAAAACTCAACCCCCAATTAAACTTTCTCAAAAAAATCCCCTAACATTAGTCTTCATTAGGACTCTCTTGTAACATAAAAACTCCAAAGGAATGGATATGCTGTTCCATCCAAGCCTGTGAGATTTAGAAGTCTGTGCATACAGTGGTTTACTTGTGAGTGCAAGAACCCAGAGCCTGAAATCTGAAGCAATTACTTAAATCTGTTTTACTCTTTTGAATTTCTTGCCAACAAAAAGAGACATTTGTGGTTCCATTACATTTACTATGGACTTTCCAAGGTTATTTGCTATACACCGCAATCCTGCAAACGCTTAGTCACATGAGTCATTCCACCTGTGAAAGTAGTCCCGTTCATCCCAGTGGAACTACTCAAGCAAGTAAAGTTACTCATGCAGCTAAGTTGGCAGAGTTGGACTCTACCGGAATAGTAAGAGGTGCTAAAGAATGTTCTCCACTATATGAAAAGCCTTTCACATTAATGTATAGATATAAACCCTGAGTACTACCACAAGAAAGTAACTAGAATTAATTTGGACACCGTTTTCTTAAATACTTCACAGTAATTGGAACATGAGCTCTGATGAGCGGTGATGATTTGAGTTCTGCAAGGTAGAAAAGTATTTAGTTTATTAAGAAAATGATGATAATTTTCTTGCATAGGAGGACTGTAATACAAGACTCTGATTCCCCTTCAGATTTAGTTGGCTTTCCTGTCAGGATAAACTGTGTAATTTCGATTCTATTCACACAGAGGTTCCAAAAGTGGATTCCACAATGGGAATTCACACGTAAATATGATGTAATAATACAATGTAGCTCAAGAGATGGTCTCTTAAGCTTATTTTAAATGCTAACTACTAGTTATTAAAATCCAACTGCCCATATGTTTGCTCTGTACAATACAGTAACTCCTCGCTTAACGTTGTAGTTAATGTTCCTGAAAAATGCAACTTTAAGCGAAACGATGTTAAGAGAATCCAATTTCCCCATAAGAATTAATGTAAATAGGGGGAGGTTAGGTTCCAGGGAAAATTTTTTCACCAGACAAAAAACTATATTTGTCTATATATACACACACACACACACACACAGTATAAATTTTAAACAAACAATTTAATACTATACACAGCAATGATGATTGTGAAGCTTGAATGAGGTGGTGAAGTTAGAGGGTGGAAGAGGATGGGATATTTCTAAATAATGAACTAGCAATTGTCTGAGCCCTCAAGGGTTAACATGTTGCTAATGTAGCCTCACACTCTACAAGGAAGCACGAATGGAGGGAGAGCAGACAGCATGGCAGACAGAGACAGAGATACACACCCTGTGTGAGAGAGAGAGATGCACATTGCCCGTTTAAGTACGCTGACACCACTCTATGTACACTGCCTTTTTAAGTAGATCAGGAAGTTGAGACAACAGCTGCAGCCAGTAACCTCCATCCATCCTGATCCCTGCCATGTCCCCACCCTGCTCTATATGGAGAAGGGGTAAGCGGGGTGCAGGAGCAGGGATGAGGGGGACACCCTGACATTAGCCCCCTTGTTCCCCCCCCTGCACAGCAAGCAGGAGGCTCCTGGGAGCAGCTCCAAGGCAGAGGGCAGGAGCAGCACATGGCAGTGGGGGGAGGGACAGTGAACTGCTGGCAATTGATAGCCTGCTGGGTGGCTGCCGCACAGGGAACTTAGGGGAATGGGGAACTGATGGGGGGCTGCCAGCCCACCCTGGTTCCAAGCCCCCAACAGCTAGCTGCAAGGGGCTGCTCTTCCTGCAAGCAGTGGCCAAAGCAGGCGGCTGCCAAACAATGTTATAAGGGAGCATTGTGCAACTTTAAACGAGCATGTTCTCTAATTGGTCATCAACGAAACAACGTTAACCGGGACGACTTTAAGTGAGGAGTTACTGTACTAGTATTTTTAAAATATAAAGATACTAGACATATAGGTTTGTGTGTGCCATGAGAACACATTATCACCATTTAGTTTCCTGCTGAATTATAGTATCTGTTTTTGAAACCATCCTTCCACAGGGTCTATATTCAAGTGCTTCATCAAAGAAATATTATGGGAAGCACCGTAATTCAAAACCCACTATCATCCACACTTTGGATTTCTTATACATCTCTTTAAGTTGATCCTTGCTGCATCACTATACCTGAATGGGAGTGGATGTTAGGAACTTGAGAGGCTGTGAGCGGGTCATTTGAAGGGGTTTCCGTTTTGCAGGGTTCAACAGACCCATTTTGCATTTTCCATGAAATTTTTCACAAAACTTTTTATTGTCAACATTATTAAAATTTTCAAACTGTTTTAATTTATCAGTTTCCATAAAATTTCAGTGATAATTTTGATAGACATTTGGATAAGAAATGTTGCAAAAAATGTGAAGAAAACAAAAATTTAGAGATTTTTTTTTTAAACAAATAAAAACTGTAAAAGGTCTGCTTTTCAACAAAGAGCCGTTTCCTTTGGAAAAAAAATGTCTACCTGCTCTAGTACTTCTTAGTTTTGGGTGAAACTACTCAAAACTTCACACTAAATGTTCTGGGAGTCAATGGAACCAAAAACTCAAAGCAAAACTGATCCAAAACCTCACATTTCTCAAGGTCTCAGATGAAAACCTAAATTAAAATCAGAGCTTCATTGCACTAGGCACTTCTAGCTTCCACATAGCAAAAGACAGTCCCTGACATGAGCAGCTTACTGTTTCAATAATCATGCAATATCACTCCGTTTTGCAAGGTTTTACCATAAAAATAGTCATCAGCCCAGGTTCACAGACCTAAATTTAAGGTTTAACTTCTGCTTTGGGTTTTACCACAAAAGTTTTACACAGCTCTATCTCTAATGTTTCCCTTTCATTTCTTTTGCCTTCCTGAAAAAGATCAGCTTCTGCATGTCAAACAAACCCAAGGAAAACTCCAGTAGTGTACGATATTGGTAACAATTTAAAATAAAATAAACTTTTCTTCGGTTCTGTGTACATTACTAGCTTCAATTACTGAAGGTGGTTTCAGGTTATGAATCTGGCTTTAAGGTTTACCTAGGGCCTCATCCTGCAGTCCACATATACCCAGAACTCCTAGAGACTTAATTG